AGCTGTGGGGCAGGTTTCCTAGCTCCAAGCAGAGCTACCCTGCCCAACCAGAAAGCAGCAAGGCAGAGTTTGCAGATTGTAGGTGTATAGAGTCTGGTTGGGGGAAGAACGAGGAGGAACGAAGATGGAGGGGACCAAAGATGAAGATGAGGATGAGACATGAAGAACCTAGTTAGAGCTATGAGGGGCAGGAGGAGAAGGGACAGAGAGGAGCTAAGTACGAGGGCAGAGTTGAAGCTATGTAAATAGAATTTTGTCTCAGAAAAATAAAGTAAATGGACTGTAGAGCTCGGTGTATTTAGATTCATTCCCTCAGATTACCCTGTTGCTGAGTCTTCCCCAGGACTCTGAGAGAATTGTCTTCAGGGCAGGCCCCCGGGGGGAAATTTTGATAATCAGGCTTGTGTGGCAAGCACCTTTACCCATGAGCCACTGCCTGAGCTCCCATGTTACTTACTCTTCAGAGTTATTACTAGGCCACTGCCTGAGCTCCCATGTTACTCTTCAGAGTTATTACTAGGTATTTGAGAGTTACTGGCACTAGAGTAAGTAGCAACATATAACTTTTCATTTTCTTTCTTTCTTTCTTTCTTTTTTTTTTTTTTGCTTACAAACTGTATGGCCGTGGCAGGCTTCTTGCTAACTGTTCTTATAGCTTAAATTAATCCATTCCCATAAATCTATACCTTGCCACGTGGCTCGTGACTTGCCAGTGTCTTCACATGCTTCTTATCATGGTGGTGGTTGGCAGTGACTCCTTCCGCCTTCCTGTTCTTTCTTTTTTCCTCTCTGTTAGTCCCGCCTATACTTCCTGCCTAGCCACTGGCCAATCAGTGTTTTATTTATTGACCGATCAGAGCAACAGATTTGACATACAGACCATCCTACAGCACTTCCTCTATTTTTTTTTTTTCCAAAAAGGAAGGTTTTAACTTTTACACATCTCCAAAGCCAGCTTGGTATATTTGGGAATTTGGGCGTAGCTTCTCTTACTACTTCCTGCTTAACTTTTCATCTTCATTTGTTTGTTTCTGGTATACAGGGATGCTACTGATTTCTGGTTATTGATTTTTTAAAGACTTATTTACTTTGTGTATATAAATATTTGCAAGAGCAACAAGTGCTCTTAACTGCTAAGCCATCTTTCCAATGCCAGCAATTTATCCAAATTCACTTCTGGTGTGTGTGTGTGCATGTGTACATGTATGTGGGTGCATGTCAAGGTCAGAATTGACACTCGGTTGTCTTCCTCAATTGTTTTTCCTCCTTATTTTTCAAAAGACAGGGTCTCTCATTGAATACGAAGCTCACTGATGTCCTAGAATGATACCAACACACCCCAGGATCCTCCCATCTCTGCTTCCCCAGAGCTGGGATTACGGATGTTGGATGCTTCACCCCGTTTGTTTTGTTTTGTTGTGGATGCTGGAGATCCAAACTTGGGTGTTTATTCAGTTGTGTGGTTTTATTGTATATATAGTACTATACTGTACTATATTTATTGTATTTATAGTGTGGTAAGAACTATATCAACTGAACCATCTCCCTAACCAGACCCCAAATTCACCTATAAATTCTAATTATCTATAGATTCAGATATTTACATTACGATTCATAACAGTAGTAAAATTACAGTTAGGAAGTAGCAATGAAATAATTTTATGGTTGGGGTCACTACAACATGAGGAACTGTCGCAGGGTTAGGAAGGTTGAGAACCACTGTTCTAGAGGCTGGGAAGTCAGAGTGACTTCTGGTTGGCTTTGAGTCAAGGCTTTCTGCTGCTTCAACTCATGGCAGAAAGCCAAAGGGCAAATGGCCATGCACCAAAAAAATGAAATACAAGGTGCTGCCTTGACTTACAGAGACGATTTCCCATGTAGTAATGCATCCAATCTCAGCAGAATAGCATTAACCTCTCGAAGATTCGTTAACACCATTCCATTGGGAATGAGTTCTCAACAAGGGTTTGGGAGGTACAGACCCTATTAAAACCTAGTAGGTATGATGAAATACCATTCCACTATAATAAAAAAGTACTGACACCCAGGACAGTGCACATGGAACTTGGAATCATGCTCAATGTTGGTGCCATGATGGCATAAGCCTGTAATCCCAGCACTGGGAAGGCTAAGGCAGGAGGATCACAAGTTTACATAGTGTGAACTTTGGGGAGATGGAAAAGATCTAGAATTATGGAGTGGTCATGACAGTACAGTACTATAAATACAATAAAACCACTCAACTGTACACTTTCATATAGTGAATTTTATGTCAACTAGAACTTGGTAAACAGTAAAATATTTGCTAAGAATGTCTTTATCCTCTTCGAAAAAGAAGAAAAAAAAATTAAAACTACTCTGATACTCTGACTCTGAAAATGTGCTCTTTCAGAGTCCAGGGAACTTGGGGGTCGGGAAACCGACATGGCACTGAGGCTGGTCCTGACCCACAGTGGGTGGAACCACACATCCGCCTGCAGCCATATCCATGGTTACAGTCCACATCTAAAAAACTGCACTCTCTGTTTCAACTTCATTTGTGTTTTGTTTTTTTGTGGATGCTGGAGATCTAAACTCGGGCTTTTATTCTTGTGTGGTAAGAACTTTATCAACTGAACCATCTCCCTACCCAGACCCCAAATTCACCTATAAATTCTAATTAACTATAGATTCAAGTATTTACATTAAGATTCATTAACAGTAGTAAAATTACAGTTAGGAAGTAGCAATGAAATAATTTTATGGTTGGGGTCACCACAACATGAGGAACACAAGGTCTTTGGCAGGGTCATGAGGTGGAGACACGGCTCTGACCTCTCCATGTCCAGGACTACCTAGGAGTCTTGGCGATGCAGCACTGACAGTGACATTTAGGTAGCTAGAGGTCTGATTTGTCAATACTGAGGTGGGCCCTGGGTGGCCCTCTGGAGGGGAGAGCCCCACCCACACAGAACAGGCAGGGAGAATGAAAGATTATAAACTGCTTTGTTTTATTTGCTGCTTTTCAAGGCTTGGAGCCTGAGCAGCCGGTGGAAAATTCCATGCACCAGTGAAACAAAAGGGAGCCAGAAGGGAGGGCAGAGAGAGGGCATCAGTCTCCCGGTGCTCTTCTCCACATGTAGAAGTTTTTTCTTACTACGAGAGACCCAGATAAACCTCTCGGGGCTTACCTACAGTAGTATGTTGAGGACCAAGTGTTCATTTCACCATGAAGGAAGTAGAAGGGGAAGGAAGCTACTTTATTTCCTAAGTGGGCAGTGGCACGAAAAAAATAAATCAATGAAGCATAACACTGTTCAAGTGCTAACCTTTTAAGAGTTAGGAATACAAGTCAGTGCTGGGTTCAATCATTTAATTTGCAACAACAGCTAGAGTAGAATTTACTAAGACTATTTAAGGTAATTTATTTTTACTTTTTCACATTAGTTACTTTTCATGGCAAATTTTCCTTGTAGTCCCAGCACTTGGGCAGGAGAAATAGGAGAATTCTGAGTTCAAGAACTGGCTCAGCCATGCAGGGAGTTCTAGACCAGCTGGGGCTACAATGAGACACTATTTCAAAACAATAACAACAGAACTCACAGTTCCACAAATTGTCCTCTGACCTCCACACATGAGCTGTGGCATAAAAGTCTTAATAATAATAAATAAAAAATAGAAAACAACAGCCAAAACATAGATTTAAGGTCTTAATTCTAAGGAAAATACAGATGATACCAAGACAGGGCAGGAATGAAGGTGTTAAGAATGACAGATATTTGGAAGTTTCATTTGTCTCTCTAGCCTCACTAATTAACAGTTCTAGAGTAAGGCTGGTGTGCTGGCACACTCTTATAATCCCAGGATTTGAGAGGTGGAGGAGGGAGGATCAGGAATCATCTTCATAAGTTTGAAGCAAGCCTTTGCTGCAGGGTCTCATCTCAAAACACCAAAACCAAATAGCTGTGGTGGTGCATGCCTTCAATCCTAGCTCTCCTAAAGCAGAGGCAGGAAGAGCTCTGTGAGTTCAAGGCCAGCCTGATCTACATAGAATTCTAGGCTAGCCACAGTTACTTAATGAGATTCTGTCTTTTTTTTTTTTTAATGTATAGTGTTCTGCCCGCATGTATGCTTGCATGCCAGAAGAGGGCGCCAGATCTTATTACAGATGGTGGTGAGCCACCATGTGGTTGCTTGGAATTGAACTCAGAAACTTTGGAAGAGCAGCCAATGCTAACTGCTGAGCCATCTCTCCAGCCCCAAGATCTTGTCTTAAAACCCAAACAAAATGGTAAAACTCCAAATAGTTCTAGGGCAAATCTTAAAAACATTCAGTGCCACATGCATCCTTGGCACTGAGTGTTCCTGACCTTCTGATTCACTCTCAGCGATATCACTGCCCCTGGTGGCTAGGAAATCACAGCCTTGGGAGACTGACTGGCCCCAAGAGCAAACATGCTGTCAGACACTTGAAACCAGCTACCTGCTTTGAAGTAGCTGCCAGTTCAAGAACACATCCAAAATTCAAAAGAGGAGCTTGAGAAATGGCTCAGTAGTTAAGAGCACTCACTGTTGTTTCAGAGGATCATGAACATGGCAACTTACAACTGTCTATAACTTTTATCTCAGGGCACCCAACACCCTTTTCTGGCCTCTGTGGGTACCAGGCATGCACATGGTGCATAGACATGCACACAGGCAAAACACCCATACACATAAAAATAATTTTTTTAAAAAACTTAAAAGATTTCTAAACAAGATGTATGTCCTTCAACTTTTCTTTGTTTAAAATATTTCATGACACAATAACAAGTAACAACGACCAGGACAAAGTGGGGATGACAACACTGTGATACTTTAAAAAACTCAATTAGCCAGGCATGGTAATGCCAGCACTCGGGAGGCAGAGGCAGGTAGATCTATAAAAGGAGTTCCAGGACAGCCAGGGCGGTTATACAGAGAAACCCTGTCTAAAAGAAACAAAACAAAAAACCCAAACCTCAATCATATAGCTGACTTACCAATAATAGATTCTTATCAGCGCTGAAGGCCACAGGAGAAAAGAGGCGACGAATGCCAGGATTGGAATGGCCAGAGTTCCACCCGCAATCACAAACATGTTAACTACATCTAGATCCATCCTGCTCTTCAAGACTGGTAGACACCTGCAGAGGCTGAAAACAGAGAACAGTACTGAAAAAATCTCAGGGGAAATAAGAAAGACTCAGAAAGGAAAAGGATCCCAGAGGGATCAGAAGACATACGCCAGAAGAAAAAAAACGTAGCAACTAGATATGATGAGATAGACTTGGGAGGACCATGGGCCTCAAAAAGTGAAAATCAAAACTACAAGGTACATTGTCAGGATGACTGGGAAAAAATCTGAGTACCCAATGGGTATCAGACAGTAGTAGAGTGCACAGTGCTATCATCTTAGAACATCCAACAAAACTGTGGCTGTGGACAATGTAGGATATCATGCCTAGGAGAAGCTTGTTCAAGCTTTGAGGGGGGCATGTATAGACTGGTATCCATTATTCAGTTTTAAAAGTTTAGGAAAGAAAAAGTAATGTATGTGAAATGTTAATTATGATGTATTATTCCCTCAAGTTTTGTGTAGATTTACAACATTTTATTTCCATTGATTGGTTGAGACAGGTCTCACTGTGTAACCTAGGCTGGCTTGAAACTCACTACATAGCCCAGGTTGGCCTGGATCTCACAATCCTCCTGCCTCAGTTGCTTGAATGCTGAAATTACAGGCAAGCATCTTACAATAACCAAATGAGGGGCTGGAGAGATGGCTCAGTAGTTAAGAGCAGGACCTGGGTTGGGTTCTCAGTACCCAATCTAGAGGGTCTGATGCTCTCTGCTGCCTTCCTCAGGCACCAGGCATGGACTTGATACACATACATACATGCATGCAAAACACTCATACACATAAAATTAAAAAAAAATATATAACCAAACGAGAGAGGAATTGCATTCATTTCATAGATAAGGGCACTGAGGCAGAGAGAGCTTAAACCTGTTCTGTTCATCCAACTGTCCTCTCAACTGCTTAGTCACTCGAAGCAGTTGTCTCAGCATGCTTCAATCACTGGCCTGTCTCTCTTCCAGAAGAAGTACACTTTGTTCAGGGCAAGAATAGTCACTTATGCTTTTTCTTAGTGCCTAGAATAGTACGTGGCACACACAAAGTACAAACGGATCAAAGAAAAGCAAAGCTACAAGATGGGATTAATCCTGTGTAACATGTTTTAGGGAAGGAAAATCATCACCTATAATGCTAAGAGAGACTGACATTTCCCCCTGAAAGTTAAGAAATTAAGAACCTCCCTGGAGAAGTTGCCTATTAAATTTAAGGTATAAAGGCTGGGGAAAGATGTGTGACTCAGTGATAGAACATGTGCCTAACATGCACAGGGCCCTGGGTTCCAGTCCAACACTGGGGGTAAAAAAAAAAAGAATTGCTGGCACAATCTACAATGCACAAAGAATAGATATGTATAAATCTGCAGGCTAGGGCTGTGGGTATCACATGAGCTGATGGATGCAAGAATTCAGTTTCAAGACAGGCGGTGGTGGCTCACGCCTTTAATCCCAGCACTCGGGAGGCAGAGGCAGGTGGATCTCTGTGAGTTCAAGGCCAGCCTGGGCTACAGAGTGAGTTCCAGG